TGTGTGTGTGTGTGTGTGTGTGTGTGTGTGTGTGTGTGTGTGTGTGTTGGCTGATCATTAATGCCACAGGTCAGTGTTCAGGTACCCCCTCAATTACTCTCCAACTCAGTTTTTGGGACAGTCTCTTCCTGAACCTGAAACTTACCAATCCTGCTAGATGAGCAGCAATACTCTACCTGTGTGTGCTTCCTTTGTCCTGAAAATCCCTGGCTAAATTCCTGGTTTCTAGGAAACTGAATTCAGCTCCTCTTGCTTGCATAAAAGTCATTACTGGTTGAGCTATATTTTAAGCTCATTAAAAAAGAATAAAAAAACTTTCTGAAGCATAGCTACAACAGTAAAGTGGATCCTGAATATTAAGAGAACGGTCAATAGTAATCATCCTTTATTCCCATAGATTTTAATTTTAGGCTATAGCAGCTTAAAGTGACAGATAAGAAATGACCATACCTTAATAAAGAGTACAGTGCAAAATGTACACATGGATACTCTTGGAATGTACATATCCTGATGAAACAATAACAAACTCTCATAGAACACAATAAGTTATAATACACTAGCCTCATTTGACAGCTTCAGTCCTAGTTTTCCTTATACGAGTGATATTAGCTTAATCCTAGAAACCTATGCTGGTGGTTAGTGGCTGAGGTTAAGTAAAATTCAGTGGACTCTGACACTGAACTCATAAACAATTGCACTTACACGTGATTTCAAGTCGGAGGAACTCTTTAATGCCAAGATTTTCTATGAGAACTCCAGATAAAGCAGTTGTTTTAAAAAAGAAGGAAATGTCAGTGCTGAATTCCACGCGGAAGGCAGGAAAGTGGAGGTAAGAAGCTTCAGTAGAAAATGAGACAGCATTCCAGAAGTGTCCTGTGAAGCAGAGAAGTCTTAAACATGTCTGGATTGTTTTTGATGATGTTTGAAAAGGAAGTGTGCCTGTGTGTCATTTTCAAGACTAGGAGAACAGTAATGGAACAAAATGCCTGTGCTCATGCAATTCAGATAAATGGCAGTGATGGTGGGGGTGGAGAGTAGGGGTTGGAGAGTGTTGTACTCACGGTCACCATAGCAACGCAAAGGGCCAATTCTCCAAGCAGCTTCTGAGTTTGATCTGTTTGTGTCAGTGATGATTATCTGAGTTACAGGCAAGTGATCTTTGAAGGAAAGAAAGCCAGTATGGATTGCCCTGAAAAAAAAAAAAGATAAATGTAAGGAGGGAGCAGGGGATAAAATGTAGATTATCTAGAGGTTCTATGCTAAGACTCCTCTTTTACAGTGGGACTTGGATTGGATGAAGACTGACTAGGTTTGGAAGAACATTAACAAAAGGTCTTTTATTTCAGGCCTCTTATCCCAACTATGTTGGGATACCAATTACAGAATAAATCGCATATTTCAAAAAATAAAATAAAATAAAATAAAATAAAATAAAATAAAAAACAGTGCATTTTATATCTTCCACAAAATGTTCTTTCAGGAACACAGGGAGTTTACAGAGATAACAGTGCTGATTGTGGCCAAGAGGACCTGAATGGTCACTGCAGTATGAATATGACATTGTACATCACTTCACTTTCCTGTAAAAGATCTTCTATCTGAGGAACTAACTTCAAAACAGACATCATAAACTCTTTTCAAAATGCACTCAGGGGACTTGGCTGAACTACCTCCCATCAGGTTTTAATCAGGTTTGAATGTTCCTTGTTATCTTTTAGGTTGTTACAAAATGAGCCTCTAAACTTAATTGGTTGTTCTTTGCTTTGTTCTTCAGAAAGATCTTGCTGGTTAATGGCTCTGGCTTTGTTCTAGTTAATTATGCAAATATGGAACTTCCTAGGGTACCATTTTTGGGGATGGAGAAAGGGATAAGAATACAAAAGAAGAGATAAAGCCAGTGTTTCCTCTTTTAAAGTTGTCATTTGGAATTAAGGTGAAGATTGTACCACTTGGCAGAGCATATAATTTGGAAGTGAAAACCTGGTGTTTTGTTGTTGTAGAGATGTGAGCCCTATATGCTTGGTGTGTGAACATGGACACCTGGATCTGGGTTTCTGAACATCCACAAAATAAGCCTACTCTTATGACACTCTTTTTTATTGGATATTTTATTTATTTACATTTTAGATACCATCTCCTTTCCCCATTTCCCCTCCTTAGAAACCCCATCCCATCCCCCCTCCTTCTTTTGCTTTTATACCATTTTAATTACATGTAAGTATTCAGGTCAGTTTCTAAGTTGAGGAACTAGCAATAAAATAGATGCAAACAGTCAAGAAACAAGCAAGACAATAAACACAAATAGTCAAAGAACAAGCAAGGCAATAAACAAAAATCCATGAACACTCCCATGACCACTGTTTCTAAGGGCTTATCAGGATGGCACTCACTTTTAATCATAGAACTGGGTAAATAGAATTAAGACGATATCTGGATCCTGCTGGCCAGCTAACCTGGACAAATTAGTAAAGTCCAGCCAATGAGAAGCCTTGTCTCAAAAAATAACTTTTACTTTACAGTACCCAAGGAATAACAGCAGAAACTGACTTCTGGCCTCCACATATACATATATACCTGTTTGAATGTACCTACCAGCACAGAGAAATAAAAATGTGCATACATTTAACCCATACACACACCAGGAAAAATTTGAAGTAGTATAGAGGGCAACAAGATCCAAGTACATAGTATCCATCTATGATGCTTTCAAAAAATAAATAAAAATGTTCAAAAAATAATAATACAGATTCAATTCAATTAAATAAATTAACTATGTAAACAGTACCAGGCAGAAATGTGCTAGGGAAAGGTCTAACCTTTGCACTCACAATTTTCCTATGTGGTTTGTATGTAATACTATGTTCATTTGTAAATGTTGAACCTCCCTGAGAGGCACTGAGGAGTTCCTTCCCTAGGATCACAGCATAGAAAGGGTGAAAATCAATTAATACTTTTGTTTTTCCCAGTTCTTTCACATATGTTTGAAGGCAGACTTTAGAGCTAACAGTCTAGCTGTGTAGTGTGAGTAATGTCCTTTCTGAGATACTTGGTATGTTGGATGCACGTCTGTATAGCAGCCTCTAGAGGATTAAATGAGGTATGCAATTGCTGGGCACAGTGTCTAGTCTGTATTAAGTGCCTCAAACTCATCTCCCTGACACTTACTTTAGTTTTCTTTGTCCCTGATCTACTTTGTGGTTTTTGGCAAGACAACTTATGTCATATGCATCCAATTATGATCCTGGACTGGAGAGTTGTTGCTACATAGCAGAGGTAGATAATTAAATTTTAAGATTTAGAATTGAGTTCATGAGACCTGTAGAAAGAAAAGTAATAATTTATCTAGGTTATCAATAAATCCAATATCCATCTGAATCCTCCCCCATAGCCCTATTCAAAGACACAAAGAAATATATAATATAGTATCTTTAATTTGAGTGGTAGTGTTCAGAAGACATTCAAATGATAAGGCTTTGTTTCAACAAAAAGTGCACTTATGTGTGTTGCACACAGAATAGATTTACCTTTTTGTTAAAATGTACTCATAAGTAGATATTGTAAAGCAGAGCTTAAACACTAGCAGTAGAGTAAAGACAAAATCTAGACTCTCTCATGAGAGAACATGAGATGCTATGTTGTGCTACTTTTTCCCGTATGTATTATGTATGCTGGGATCTGAATTCTGTCTGTTAATGCTGACTTGTGTGCCTCCTTTGGACACCAAGATATCTTATACATATCCACATGATGCCTTGTATCAGCATATGGATATACATAAAAAATCATCTAAGTATAAAAAAGCACTTCCACATAATATAAAATAGGAAATTTTATATTAGGTTTGATGATATAACCCACATTATCAGGAATGATGTTTATATGGAAACTTTACGCAATAAAAGTAATCCAGCATCCCTTCCCAGGGAGTAATATTTTTCACAGTTCACTGGGTTTTCAAACATCAATTAACAATTAAGACAATCCTGCATCAGGCCAACATATTGAAATTCTCAACTGAAATTTTTCTCACTGTAATTCTAGGATATAGAAAGTTGATGTGTAAAATTAACAACTACATTGTTAAATGCAATAGATTTATATCAGTGAAGGAATATATATCTTGAGTAATCTGCATCTAAGAAATGTTGAGTCACATTTGTGTGACCTGGAAACTATTAGTTTTGTTATTTAATCTCCATGTGCTCTGACTGTCACTGAAGTTATCTAGAGAGGTATTTACTTCTGGCACTGCTAGACATTTCTGTTTTCACATCTAAACTTTGCTCAGTAAATACCACTTCTTTTCTTGAGGTACAGGATTTGAAATCAAATGTTTGGGTACTGAACCCAAGAATGGATTTCCAAGTATTAGCACATCACTGTGTGAACACACTCTCTGATACCCCACTGGTAGAGAGCAGTTCCTCATGGCTGGAAGCTGGTACATTACCACATGGTTACCATCTTTCCTAGACATTGCTGCATGCAGTGCAATAGCTGAGTCCTTCGTCTTTACTTGGTAGGTCTCTGACTGTTCCATTCTATTCACATACATAACACGTTTCAATTGATTGGGTTTCAGTTTGATAATTTGCAATCATTTCGAGACTGGGTCTCTAAGATTACACCTTTGTCACTTTGGCAGATGCTATGGTAGAGCATAGGATCATTGGTTATATTCCACTGCTCCTTTGCTTTATTCAGCTATAGCAGATCTATCTACTTCAAGGGAAATTTATGAGAAGCCCCGTTTTGAGATATTTTAGTTTTCAGAAATATTTCTTATCTTCATCCAGTGTTTGGCAATTGAAGGAAATTGTATTAAGCTAGCATAGTATTTCTTTCTTAGTGTTCATCCTTTTATTACACACACACACACACACACACACACCACATTGGTATAGTTTCAGAAACATAAATATAACATACAAATCAATGTTGTCTCTTATAATTAATTTACAACTTTGTAATATTACAGAAATTATTAATAAAAGTAACCACATACTTTTTTACAAAACTGACTACATGACTCATCTGATAAATGCAAAGATCATCTGCAGACTCAGCTAGCAATCTTCAGAAATAACTACTCTGCCTTTCCCCATTCTTAAAAATAGAATCAGCACCAGAACCACCAAGATGCTGAATGATTTAGGTCCTTTAGTTAACAATTGACAAATGTAGAATTTGAATATTCTGCTCCATAATAAAAATTTAGTTAGCAGTTTATTACAGTTAGCAAAGGGAGTATGACAGTGCTATCAGGAAAAAAAGGAACAATTGTGTATAATAAGTACATGATTAGCAATGCTGTGGATGTGCAAAGGAGATAGGATTAGCACTTTTCCTTGTGTATAATAATAATTCTGCTAATTAAACACACAGTCATTGGGTTATCTCACATCAGCCATATGCTTTCCCATGGGTGGTGAAAGCACAGTAAGAAAGAGATGACATTAGGAAGGAAATGAATAGACTGTCAAATCAGATGTGTACTGAACTACAGCTATTCAAGGACTCCAGAAAATTTCCAGCTAGAAGATGTTATTGGAAATCTCTGGGTGTGTCTATGTGAGACCCTGTTGAGGGCTGACTACCTCTCCTTGTTTCATTGAATGAGTTACCTCCATTGTTGCTCTGGTGTTTATTTTGACTCAGAGTTCAAAGGTAATGTTTATCATGGTGGCATCAGGAGCTTGTGATCACAGCACAGTCAGGATGCAAAGAGGTGAATGTTTAGAGATGAATGTTGGTGCTTGGCTCCCTTTTTCTTTTTGACTCAGTCTGGAGCCATAGAGATGATCTTTGCATCTCAGTTGACCTAATCATGCTAATCTACTCAGTGATTTCAGATCCTGTCCAGATGGCCTTTTCTGTTCCTCACTGTATACCTATCCTGTTCTTTCAAGGAATTCTCTACATGCTATATATGGCCAGAACATCCCACTTGGTACTGGCTCTGTTGGAATCTCTGTATTGACCAATGTCTCCTCAGCCATTTTATTAAATCTGTCACTATCTGTCCTCAACAATTCTAAGATCAAGTACTATCAATCTAACAATATATAAAACAATAAAAACTATACAAATCAGAACTCAATGTATTTTGCTACTGTACTGTTTCTTAGTGGGAAAATGGTCTAGTCAAATTCTCATCATGGAAGGTAGAGAATAAGTAATGATAAATGC